TCCGGAGAGAACTGGGATGTGTGTAGGATTTATCACACATTTTGCAGAGATATGGTTTGTCAGAGGTATGGACGTGCATGTGTTTCTTACGATCACTGCTGTTCGCAAAGCGCCTGTCACAGCCTTCGAACTCACACTTGAAAGGTTTTTCACCTAACAAAAACAAAGCAAATATTGCTCAAAATACACATTTTAAAAAGCTAGCAAGTGAATTATTATATATATTTTTTATTTTCTGTGGTAGCACTGTCGGAGGTGCATGAATTAACAATGAGTGTGCTAATAAATATAAAGTTTCTATATAAATATATATTCCACTCACGAATAATTATTTAAAACTCTTTTTAAAATTAGCCATAATTATACACATTATTTTCCAAAGATAAAATTCAGCTAAACGTTTAAATTATTAGATATTTTACACCAATAACAAATACAGTTACTAATTTGCGTCACTGAATTATGCTCGGTTGGCAAATTATTGACAGGACAAAGAAATAAATATTATTATCAGCAATATTTGCTTGGGAATTAATGCTTATTTACGGTCCTATAATTGCAACACATAAATACAAAAATATACCTCTTCATTAAAAACTAGGAATGAACGTGTATTTAGAGATGAAAATAACGATTTTCTTACCTGTGTGTGTTCTTTTGTGGATTTTCAGATTTTCCGATCGGGCAAATACTTTTCCACAGCCGGGGAATGGACACGGAAACGGTTTCTCTCCCGTGTGAACTCTGATATGATTCACAAGTTTATATTTTGCTTTAAACGGTTTCCCTTCCCGGCCGCACTCTTCCCAAAAGCAAATGTGATTCGACTGCTCTGGTCCCCCAACGTGCTCTACAGTCAGATGGGTCACAAGCTCGTGCATAGTGCTGAAAGTTTTGTTGCAGGACTTTTTCGGATTCGTCAGCTGCTCTGGTTCGATCCATTTGCAGATGAGCTCTTGCTTTATGGGCTGTCTCATGTACCGAAAGAAGGCCCCTGCCCCGTGGTGGGCAGCCATATTCATGTTCATGGGGCCATAGCCGTGCAACTGAGTCGAAGCGTAGTGCTCGGACCTGGGACTCGCGACATGACCGTATTGCTCGGCCCTGCCGTACATGTCCCCTGAAAAGCCCAGGCGCATCTGACTGTTTACCACGTTGGAGGACGCGTGCGTGGCCGCTTGCTCGTGCAGTCCCGGGAAGAGCAGGTGCCCAGCGGCGTCAGAGTGTCCATGTGGCCCGGCGAAACTTCCAGCGGCGGAGGCGAATAGACTGTGTTGCGCGCTCGTGGCGTCCCCGAAGCCCCGATTGCGAAAAAGAAAGTCCCGAGTGGAGTTGAAGGCGGCGGTGGAGTACGAGCTGACATGAGTGGGGTGATGATGGTGTCCCAGGGCAGCGGCGGCGTAACCGGGTGCCTGCGAGGAAAAGGCTGTTTGCCCAGAGCCGAGATCGTGGGAGCTGTGGTTGATTTTAAAAGCGCCCATACCGTCGGCGAACGGATTGATACCCAAAGCCACTTCTCTGTCTGTAACTTCGCCTGTTGAGTGATGTCTGGTGGAGCCGAAAGTAGTCACTCCAATGGTGGGATACTGTGGTCCTGCGTCCAAGAGCATCTTCAGTCTGCAGCGGAGGAGACTGAGAGAGGAAGAATCTCTTACAACTGTCTCTGCTTACTATTTCTCTGACTTAAGTCTGTGCAAGGCAAACTCCGATCCCCTATTCCTATTTACTTTTAGTGGAGAGGAATTTCCCTCTCCTGCTCATCCGATGCACACGCAAATCATGTGCAATATTGTCTTTTGCGGTTTATCTTCCTGTGGCGCAACTTTCACCTCCTCAGTCAGGCGGTGAGCTTCAGACTGATAGTCGCAATCATTCCTGCAGATAAATGAATTGAAAAGACAACACAGTCCACCCCTGATGAATGGGGAAGGAGGGGGGCAGCACGTGACCCCGTGCTTGGACCATCATTGGAGAGGGCGCTCTCCCCCTACTAACATTCACTCACCAAATAACAGCCCGCCATGCCTCAGCATCAGTGCGATTGGTCGGTTTACATCATCAATCTATGGGATTGTCGGGAGGTTGCTGACTGTGATTTTGCTCTGGATGTTGAAATTCAGAAAACAGAGTTTAGTGAATGCAAGGCCGAATAATAGCTTTTGTCCTAGACAGAGTACTTCCACGTTTGGCCTACTTGTGTGCAAGCCTGATGCTCTGTGGAGAACCTGGCGCGCATCTAGTAAACACTGGCTGAAATGTGACATTCTCACATAGCAGGAAACTGCTGCGTAAAAAAAAACAAATGCAAAAAAACTCCAAAATAAAAAATCTAATAAAATACATATGCAAAAAATAATTAAATATATAAAAGGAAAGTATATTTTCCACGTTGAAGTGGTATTATTGAGAACTTTAATGCATTCTCAACTCTAAGAAACAACGTCACTATTGTGTTATCTGTAGATAGACATTCCTATATATTCCAAGAACCCACTAATGTGTGACGACGCTTTTTTTCTATATGTAACACTTATGCAGTGGCCATTTTATGTTGGGTTGACTTTATTTTACATGCAACGTTTTCTACTTGGAGACATCCCAGTGAAACTATTACTCAACTGCTTTTGCAGTGTGCAATGAAAGTCACGCTTCTGCACAACACTGTAATACTGTAGTTGGAATATACTTATTGCTTTGATATCTACAATATACTTGAAAAGAGAACTCGTGTGTTGTAAGTATTTAAAAACACCACATTCTCTTTGCCTGACCCTAGTAGGCCTTCCACATACCTTCAGACTTTATATAATTGATTCAAACCTTACTCATATTTTTAACTCGTGTTTTTGAAAGACTAAGGGCATAACGCATCACCCTTGTGTGCGAGTAAAAGTTGTGGGTTGTGGAAGTTGTGAAGTGGGATTTCTCTCTGCAGGAAACTCCGGCGGCTGGAGTTCAAAGCCGCATGAACAGACGAACCATTAAAATATCATTCAGACTGCAGCCTTCAGCTCCATACACTCCCAAACTCCTTCCAGAGAGAGAGAAAGAGAGAGAGAGGGCCAGGCGAAGCTGATGAGTTGAATGTTTTGTCAAAAGGACGCTATCTTTATAAAAGAAATCTGGACGGTGTCTTCAACAGGTGAAAACGGTAAGACTCGAAGTGTGAGTTTTGGGAACTGGAATCATTGGGAAATATTTGCCGAAAGTAATAGAGAGACTGAAAAAACAGCAATAGCGTTTTAATTCATACTCAAGTATGCTTTCAATAGTAAATTCGCTTAAAAACAAGGGTTGTGTGTAATGCTGTATTATTTTATGAATAAATGAATAGTAAAATACCAAGACAACAAGCACATCTGTTTCGTTTGGTGCACTTTTTTAATCTACATTTTTTAGAAATACTAAAAAGTGCCAGTAAGTCAAAATGTGCCCTAACAATGTCAAACATTTTAACTTTATTTTTTTAACTCTGTGTATTTTAATAACCGACAAAGAGTTTTGCTTTAAACCAGAGTTTTGTTGCTGCGGTTTGTTTTAATTAATGATTTTGGTCGATATCTGACTTTAATCCCATGTGTTCTTTTCATTATTTTTCTGTGAAGTCGCTTTATGTTTTTGCATCTCCCCTTCTAAGCCACACAAATCAGCTTTAAAACAAACTTTTATTTGCGACTGAAGAAACTATTGCATTCATGAAGAATGCAGTTTCGATCCTGAGCCCCATCTTTTCTTTTTCTTCATAGTTTATATAGTGTTTACTTATTTATGACACTGGTGGTGTGGTTTGTCACCAGAGGCCTGACAGATCAATTCACGGCCTTTCTCAAGGGAATACCAATTTATTTGCATCAATAATTGAATGCAACCTTTTCTTGATTAAAACAAAGAGGCCCAAAGTTGAAGAAGTGCTTAAAGTTACTCTTTGCTTAAAGTATATTTTTAAAAGTTTATAATATTTAATATATTACAGCAATGTTCAATGTTTTTCACCGCATGCAAACAAAACACACGGACATAAATAGATCATAGTAGTCTCCGGATAAAGCAACATTTCCGTGAAATGCGATTATTTTAGTCTTGCGCTAGGAAGTCTAAAATAAATAAAAAAAAAAGTGCCATTCCACGTGTTTACTAGTTTCTCGTATATATAGCAGGATGTAAAAAAAATACACCATATACCTTCACAAAGTTACAAAGCAATGTGGACTGGGGGTGGGGTGTCAACTGTTTCCATTTTTCATCGAGACACATGAGCACTAAAGCAATCTGCTTTCTCTGCACTGTCACGTATAATCTGACTAATTCCAGTTGAGATTGAACATATGATATCTGACATATATCTAATAATATCTGCATGACCTTGTTAGGTCAGTTCACACAATACTTCCTTTTTTGTCTGGATAGTGTGATTAAGATAACTCTTCCAAACAGTTGCAATCAAAGTAGCCTAACAATTCGACATTGCAATTACAGCATATGACTTTTTTCGTGCAAGGAGGAAACATAACATTCACTATAACTTCTAGTTTTTTTGCACAATGTATGATCAAACGTTTACTGTTTAGGGCTAAGTCTACTTAACTGAGTATTGGTAAATCAGATACGATAACATGCAAACACAAACACACACAAAAAATCAACCATTTTACTTTAGTACAATAATACTCTAATCCAGGCTATTTTGCATTAATTAGCAATTATACACTTTTTTCTGTCACAATAGTTTGTAAGCTAAAAAGTTTTTTTTTTAATTACGGCAGCACGGACGCAAAATAGTCTATTGAAACATTTTATTTGTAGCTTAATTGTTGAAATTTATACATTAGTTGTGGGAGTACTAAGCATTAACATTATCATATGTGGTTTTAAATTATATTTCATGTGGACACTATGCACAATTTCATGTTTTTTTTTTACTTGAGTAAGCTATAATCGTTCCCCTGAATAAAAATTGAAGTAGCATAGTTTATTAAAACTCTTGAGCCTGTTTTCATGAGGTGAGGACAGTCGATTTGCATTTAAGCTTTTTAAACATGATAAGACAACAGCTGGTTGCGGATTCCTTATTGTACTTTATTCATAACAGGTGCACTGTCAACAGTATGTTTATTAAATATTGGCGGGTAATCTGTAAGATCAACTTTTACGTTTGGGAAAGACTGGATTAGTTCGGTGTTACGAATTTTATTTAAAAGCTCCTCGAGCTGTTTTGCCAAGACTTCTTTGCTTTGCTGCCCTGTACACTTTTGATGAAGCACCACCTCCTGTGTGCCTGATCCACCGCCGCTGAACAACTGAGGCCGAAAATTACCCCCGATCATAACAACAGGTCTTTTGCGTTACTTTTTTCTCCCGGACAATAGGCGACCTTCGCGCTTTTCACAAGACACCGATCCCATGACGACGAAGAAGCACCGTTAGAGGAAAAGAGGGGGTGTGAAAACTTTTTTTTTTCAACAAAAGGGTTAATACGGAAAAAAAGTCTGAGTATAAACAGGCAGCATGCAACCTCAAACTTTATACAAACCACCGCTTCTATAGCTTTTTTTTATATTCTTTATTTTAATAAGCTTCTTCAAATGTTCGGACTATAGCAGACAGAGCTTACTTCGCATTTTTATTTCATGCATGTCCAATCAGTCCGGTTTACTACGTGTGGTAAGCAGCAAACGCGCTCTTTTTCAGAGCGCATTTGCAGATTTCTCACAGCTGTAATATTTAGAAAGGTTGCATTGATTCGATGTAATTTTTGCATTGCAGTTAAAAGTACAATAACCTTTGCATAACAAAAACATTTTTTTCATCCGCTGCCTGAAGCTCGGCGCATGCGCGCTCTCTGTTTGCTGTCACTAAAACATTTTTCTTCGCATTGGAAACTGTCACGAGTGACGTCAATCACGGAGCTCTGACCAATTAGAGCGCTCGGTGATTGTTTGGCTCCACGGGCTGCAGCGCCTACCATGAATCTCTATTCAGTATATCAAAGCGTCCTGCTGCTGCCTCTCAACCGAATGGGATTCCACGTAGGCACTGAGATAGCAACTAAACTTTAGGGGAAGTTTATTTTTTTTTCTTCTGTATTCTTCAAAGCGATTAAAATATATTTGTCATCATCATTATTATTATTTTGCCTGCTGTCAAGTTATTCTAAAATTAGGAGTAATGAGCGTGGATGCTTTGGGAAGCCCTGTGATGGACCCCGCGTTTTCCAAACGGAACACGACGCTGAGATTAGTTGACTTGGCAGGGGCTCACCACCATCACCATCATCACCACCATACCCCTCAGAGCGTGACAGGCTTCCCGGGGTTCAGCAGCCATCCACACTCAATGGCTCACTCGCACCCTGGGGAGATGACTGCGGAACCCCGCCTGGGGCCGAGTCCATTCGGGCCAGAACACATGGGGCACTCCGCGGCCCTCAAAATCAGCCCAACCCATCATTATCCCCACCACCATCACCACCACAATCATCATATTGCAGGCCACAGTGAAGTGGTCTCCAGTCAAACGGGAGCTTTTGGCCCGGTGCAGGCGGCAACGGTCCCGTACTCTATGTCTCACACGGCCCAGGCGCTATCCGCAGGTAGGGATTTCCTCATTCGCCGAGAGTTGACAGCTCAAGCCATGCCCGTGTTGACCGATCAGACTTCTGGTTCAGCCTCTCACCACGGAATGTTTGTCTCAACAACAGGTAGCTATCCGGGACACTATGGTCATCACCCCGACCCTGGGAACCACACGCTCTTCCCTGGACTTCATCACGACCAGCCATCTACCGGAGCACCAGGTGGCCAAGCCTTGAACGGACAAATAAGGTTAGGAATACCTGCCGAAATGTACGTTCGGTCTGATCATTTGAGTCAAGTAGCGAGCTCCAGGGCAGACCCGTTTGCTGCTTCTCCTCTGCACGGATACGGCGGGCTCAATCTGAACATGAATCTCAGCGCACACCACCACCACGGAGCAGGCGCTTTTTTCCGTTACATGAGGCAACCGATCAAGCAAGAGCTCATCTGCAAGTGGCTGGAGCCAGAGCACTCCGCAAAGAAACTTTGCTCCAAAACTTACAGCACCATGCACGAACTGGTGACACATGTGACTGTGGAGCACGTTGGAGGACCCGAGCAAGCGAACCATATCTGTTTTTGGGAAGAATGTCCGCGAGAAGGAAAGCCATTTAAAGCAAAGTACAAACTTGTGAATCACATCAGAGTGCACACCGGGGAGAAACCGTTTCCTTGTCCATTCCCCGGCTGTGGAAAAGTATTTGCTCGATCGGAAAACTTGAAAATCCACAAAAGGACACACACAGGTCAGTGGCTTAATTTTCTGTCCCTTAGGACAATTTAGTTAAATACCAGTGGATCTAATGCGGCAGTCAGTAGATATGCTGAAGTGTAAACAAGTCGATGCACGACAACTAGTTGTTTAATGACTCGAGCTAGCTTGCAAGCTAAACAGTTTGCCTCAAACCCCAGCGCTGCTTCTCTGTGGCATTAAACTGGTTTTTACAAACATACCAAGTGCTTCGGTTCATCTATGGTTTAAAGAGTTTTCTCCAAGCACACCGAAGCACCATTTTAATAGTTGTTTAGCTATATTTTTATGTATTCGTTTAGTTTACACCGACAAAATCTCACAGGCTTCCACTTGTTAAACAAGACGCCGTGTTTTTTATTTATTTATTTTACCAGAGATGGAGCAGTGTGGAGTGCTATTGCTTGGACTTGCTTGCATTTGAAATACGCGTGTTGTAAAAATAATAAAATTATTGCTTCATCACAGCTTCAAGATATCTCAACACACCCTCATATGTTTGGGGCCTACTGTGTCCAGTTTAGCCTGCTTAAAATAAATAAGAGTTTCCGCCATATGTTAAAAACTCTATAATCATAGTTTTACACACAGCAGATAGTTTATCGACGTCGTCTGATTATATTACAATCATCCCACGTCGTACACAGACGTGTACTGACTTTACAAAACTGTTATAACGCTATTATTACATTTATGGAGACCACGTCTTTAATCACATACTTTTTAAAATATTTTTCTTTAGACACATCTGTTAGCTACTCTGCGATCTCTGCAGCTTTTTTATGTTCCAGTTATTCTTGGTCACTACCTTTTTCTCTCCATATAATGTGTTATTTTTAACAAACTGTCAAAAACGTTTGTGAATAATTGCTGCAAGAGTCAATATTTTGTAGTTATTTAAATTTATTCCTGAACTGTGACGATGTAAGAAACTACGCATAAACTGTTGCCAACTTAACGCATGCAACAAGTCGGTTTCAAAGTTCTGCAAAAGTAATCAGACGTGGCTTTAAAAACAAAATCTTGTATATTAATAAGTAAACTATTTTAATAAAATTCTAACTAGTTCATTAATAATTGATTTTGCATTACTGTTGACAAATATATATTTTTATTATTTAATTTTTTTGCACTTGGCGAGTGTGTTTGAGAGTTTTTCCCCTCTATCTGAACTAGCACTGGCATAATACTGCTTTCAAAAGAAAGCCTGCCTACGTGTTTCGTTTAACTGAAGATAACAATCATTCAGTTGTGATGTCTACCCAACGTTGTTCATTACTTCTGTGCAACATTCCCGGGGGCAGCTACATTATTTTCTTGCTTGGGCGGTATTTGAATCTTTGGTTATGGATATGGTTTCCCAAGGGTCTCTTCCTTGCTGCTTTCTTGTAGTACACTAATATTCTTGATTGGCTTTCTCGGCCCAACAGCTGAAGGTCAAATTGATATTCAGCGAGCAACTGTAATTAGACAGCAGCAATTATGTAGTCTTATAAACTCCTGGAGCTTATGTCCTTCGGAAATAAGCGTGATGTGATTAAATGTAATTAATTCAAACATTTCTATTGCCTTGCCGCCTTCTCCTGCAGCTATTATGGTTACAGTGGGACAGGCCTAATAGCAGTTTAGACGGTGGATCAGATCTATTTTATGAGTTCTTCACACTCTGCATTCCAAAGGTAAATGAAACTAGCACGTGCTTTAAAAAACGGATGCCCAATAATCTGTAATTGTGAAAAGAAATCATTGCTGTCTGAGAGTCTCAGTCACAAGGGGCTTGCCATAAGAGCAGACAGAGCAGTAAAAAGATAATCACTATATCAAGGGGCTCGTGTGACCTGATTTTCCCTGTGCAGAGTGACATGCGTTAGACTACTGCAAAGTAGGCCTATATTTGGCTATGTGCTCATTATTATGATGTGCTTCGTAATGATTAGCAGACTAGTGATGTACTCTACCTGTATTGACCATTGTCGCAACTGTTTTGTTGTTTTAGGTGAAAAGCCTTTCAAATGTGAGTTTGACGGCTGTGACAGACGGTTCGCCAATAGCAGTGACCGGAAAAAACATTCCCACGTACACACTAGCGACAAGCCGTACAACTGCAAAGTCAGAGGTTGTGACAAATCTTACACGCATCCCAGCTCTTTGAGAAAACACATGAAGGTGCACTGCAAGTCTCCACCTCCGAGTTCTGGTTACGAATCATCGACTCCATCTCTTGTTTCTCCTTCATCGGACTTGGGACGGGAGCCAGCTCCCTCGGCGCTCTCGGAGCCCCTCTCATCATCGTCCCAGCCGGCCAATTTAAGCGAATGGTACGTGTGTCACAGCTCCGGTGCCAGTGGCCCTCAGACCCCACCCAGCGGTTCATCCACGCCGGGCCATACAGAGGGACCAACGTACGGCAATCCTGAACGGAGGGACGCCTTCTAACACATTGTTAGCCCCGTAACTTTTTATTTTTATCTTGGCAAAGTGACTAAATGACCTTTTCTTATTTGGACAGTCCAATTTGGGCTGAATGGTTCACAGGCTTATGTCTGTGTAAATCAGTTCAAAGAGTAATCTCGTCCACTGTTACTGCCTTACTGAAGGATGCACTGGCCCTTTGACAGCTAATGTCACTGCCTAACCACCAATCGATTTAAAACATGTCCCGAGTGTATATGTTTCTAAATAGTGTACTGACCGTACGCATGTCAATGTATAATTTTGTAAATTCCGCTTCTGATTTCAATATTTTAATTTATTTTTTAATCGGTAAAGAATTTCTTTTTGTATTATTGAACCAAAGTGCTTAATTATTAAACATGTACAGTTGTAAATAACCACGTTTTAATGTCTATGTGTGAGCAGTAATTTTGTAAGGTTTTGTCTTCAGCAATTTTTAAATGTTTGCTACTATACTTTGTACAAAATTAATATTTGAAAGTTATTTGAATTTCATAAAAAAAGCCGTAGACTCTTTCCTCGTTTTGTGCTTTCTCCAGCCAAGCCAATTTGATGGAAACAGTGTTATTGTATTTGATATGACGTTTCAGTTATGATTAGTCATTAATCAATGTGGTTATTTTGTGATTTTGTAAAACTTGTCAGCAATCCATTTTTATGAAAAGTATGAATTATCAGAAGAGACCTTAAAATGTGTACCGAAATGCCTTGTAAGTTGTCAGTATTTTGAATAAATTGTGTATGATGCAAAGCTAAATGACTTCCTAAATTACAACAATTGTAGCCTTATGCAGACTGAGGATATCACAATCTTATACAAAAATGATAAATTAATGTTTTAAGTATATATTTCTATAATGCCAAAATGACTCAAACTTCACTATATTTATACCAGCCAACTTAGATTTTAAGTTTCTCAGTGAACCGCATTGCGATAACTTGTTTTATATCCTTTTGTATGGCTTATACACACAAATATACCCAAGCTTTACACTCCAATTACATGGGCAGCAACTGATGAAAGAGTTGCATATTTTCACACAGACTTCAAAGAGGCTTTTATACAAAGAGACATTTTTTTCACGACGGTGAATCTTCATGGTGAGTTAAGATTTCAATAGCAAAAGCCGAGTCAAATTTAAATAATATGGGTTACGGGGCCGTAGATCCCAGTCTGTCAGAAAAATTCAATACTTGGTCTGAAGAAGAAGAAAAAAAAGACTACAAAACATGCTTTAATTTACTTGAACGAATGTTTATTCATTCGTTTATTATTTTTCTTATTGTTTTCCTTGTTTGACAATCACCGAAAAAGTCCAGTGTGCACTTTTTCTTTCGACTTCCATGAGGAACTTAAATTAATAACTTAATAATCCACTGTATACCCGCGAAATGATCATGTTTTAACCAATAAATCGATAATTCAATATAGATCAATATCGAATTCTTTCCTTGGGAATCAAACTCTAGTTGATGTCTGCCTAGTGAGAGCTTTGCATACTCAACTGAACTCTTTTACACTTAAACCTCAGCGCTGTGTATTGGTTGAAGCACATTTAGCTATTAAACTTCGTTGTTGCATACATAATAAATACAGTGGGGAACCACCAGACAGTGGCTGGAGTATCAGAGGGGAAAGGGATAGTTTGGTCTCAATTGAAGCGAGGATCCTTTGAAGTTTTTTTTTATCTGGGGATTCTTGCATGTAGTCTAAACGACGCTGATGACATGGAAAAGGCCTCTCGGTGTCACCATTTTGATCGCGCAATCTTTTCAAATGTGTTTTAAGTTTTTTCGTTCCATTCAACAAACCAAGAGGAGATGAATTTGACCAGAATCAAGTACTTCCAAGTAATTTAAACTATCTACAAGCTGCCTTTCTCGGACTCCTGGTGAGCCTGAGAGCGCGCACGCTCGTCCGTGTGTCAAACTTGCGATAAAAGGGGACAGAACAATAAATGTTTCTTTTCAACAGTTTCTCGTTTTTGAGAAGTGTCGAGTCCGCTTTAGCCATTCTCTTTCCCACAACCATTTGCAAGAAACAGCGCTGATTTGGAAAACAAAATTACGTAATAGTATTGAATGCAAAATAGTCAATGTAAAGCTATAATGCAATCGACAACAGTAGTAGTAATAATAATAATAATAATAATAATAATAATAATAATAATAAATAGTAATGCTGAATAATAATAATAATATTAATAATAATAATAATAATAAAATCAACAATATTAAAAATAATAACTATAATAATGTGATTGTTATTACTACTACTACTACTACTACTACTAAACCAATAATAATTATAAATTGTTTTTAATGTTAAGTGAAACACAAGACACACTCCCATTTTCTTAAAATAAAAGTTACATTATTTACAAACTCCAAAATTATGAGTTTATTCAGTTGTCACAATACGCTGGACAATACATTCACATTCTAGCTACATTAAGCAATGGTCTGCCTGTGTAAAGAAAGCAAAGGAAAAAATCTTCTTTTGTTAAATGCAAGCCAGGGCTCATTTGAGTGTGAAATATAATTTCTTTGTGAAATAATTGAGGCGATAATCACACTTCCGGAAACTGTCCTGCATTATTTAACAAAGCTCTTTTAATGGGGGATTAGCGGTTCTCTCCACACCATTCAACGCTCTATTTAATGTCATAATTACATGACAAGGGCTGAGTGGAATTCGCATGCAAAATGACAGGACAGGTGCAATGGCAAATAAATAAATATATAAATTAGCCACTAACAAAAAGCAAGTTAGGAGAAAATAAGCTACTTTTAGACCTCTTTGTGGCAATTCCACCTCCAACTACAACCTGACTGGCACTGGTCTTGTCGTTCAAATAATTGAGAAGCGCTGTTTTGTTGCTGTGCAGCAAATTGAAATGCACCATATTGACCCTGTCATGCAACTATATGTTAAATGAATGCTATGATTTCTTAGATTTTTTTACATACAGGTAAAGCTTACGAGAATTTGGACTTTTTGGTTATTGTATGTTGACCATAAAATTGCTTTAAAATATTAAAACCTTTAAATATTGCGTTGCTTAAACATTTGAATCAAAGAAGTTGACTTCACATGCATTTCATATCAAAGCTCACTTCGTTTTAACTCAGATATATTTTAAAATGTTTCTTCCAAATAATAATAACAACAACCATAATAATAATAATAATAATAATAATAATAATAATAATAATAATAACAAACTTAACGCAATAAAGTATGCAAGCCACTTTAGAGCATGAATTAAAATGTACAATTATTTTGCAAATTTCAATACACTTATAATACTTTTATTATGCAATGTAGACATCTCAAATCCTCATATACCAAATACAAACCCAACAGTGCACGACTATTGTAAAAACAGTAGTAATACTGGTGTATAAAATAATTAATAGACCATTTCAATGTGCTTATGTCATTGGCCCATGGACATTTCCTGCTTGTTATCATTTATTAACTGTAACAAGAGGCAATTGAATGATAATTTAATGTTAAAACAGCTATCATAACATTATTTATCAATAGGAGGCTCTTTTTGGATTATCGGAAGCTATAGAAAATAAAAATGTAAAACAGGAAATAGGTTGGAACCATTTTTGTTTACATCCCTCAAAATGGTCTGTACTGTATAATATCAACATAACATCACATATTACACACTTATGATTTAGTTAATGCGTGCTAATTATTTACCTGAAAGATTTGAGATACTTCATGAAAACTTAGCAAACCAAGAAAGAAAACAACTATTAACATTTCAGGACTTCAGAAAGCAATTATTAGTTGACTTTACTTTAAAGAACTGAGTAAACCAATTGCCTTAAATTATTAAGTAGAAGAACAGTAGATAAAAAATAATTCAATAAGTCAATGTAACTTAACAGAATTAGTTAACTTTTTTAAGCAAAGCACATGTCTGTCACTTTTAGGGCAATGGATTTACTCGCTTTTTGAAGTAATCGATTTTTACAGACACATGAACAAACTTTTAACACTTCATGACATCACTTCCTGTATCCGCGTTACTTATGAATCTGAAGAAGAGTAATGTTACAAGCATGCTCTAAATGAAAAGCAATAGCGAGAAATGACTAATAAATTGGGGTAGCCTGATTGAATAAGCTCCTAAATAGTCCGATTACCACCATCTTCTATTCGTCGGCGCTGAGTTATTGTACTTTCATGGATGAAGGAGTTTTTTCTCTAGTCGGAATCAGCCCCTATAGTTAGCAGAGTGAACACTGATCTCTAACAACCTTCAGATAATGTAGCAGAATGTACCGCACTATTTCGCACCTGCACTCTGAATAGGAACCTTCTTTCAATGTAAGATACGCTTGTTGGCCTTGAATCTCAAAGCAGCTGCATGAATGAGTCGAGCGACCCGTGCTTATTTCGCTTCCTTTGATCTCTGATCTCTCCCTCTCTAATTTGTTCGTATAGTCTGCAACAAGGACTTTCTATTTGCTATTAAAACATTAGAGTCTATAAGGGGCACATGAACAGCATAGACGCCACGCAAAAAAGCAGCACGCTATGTGGGGAGCATCCTGCGCTTTGCACTAAAATAATCATGTATTAGTCGGGGAAAGCACGACATTGCTGTTTATTTCGTCGGGAAAGCTTTTAATAGAAGGATCCAAAGGAACACCACACTTCAAACATTACGCAAAGGTGATAATTTGCAGAATGTTTGTCTGCTGATTTGAAAGAAATATAGCGTTATTACCAATAGAAATGTGGTGCAATACAAACCCAGATGTGCACTCTTGCCTAGGTATGTTGCAAGTTTTTTCTGCATTCTTTGATGCTACACATTCACTACCAACTTTTTCAGATTTAAAGTGACTCAATAAAATATTTAAATGCATAAATAAAATAAAAAAGCCACCAGTTTTTATAGTTTAAGCTTAAAATATTGCTTTTTGTAGGCTATGCAAATAAAAAGGAGAATATACACTGATACACCGCAGGGAAATTTCTTCATATAGCAAACATTGTTAACTCAGTTGGGTTTCCTTTAAGGACTCACATATATTACAGTTTAATTCGATGTAGAGCATCCAGAGAGGTCTATCGCCGCCCAGACAGACACCGGAATGCAAACACGAGTAACTAAATTAAGTGCATTTCCATATTTTCACGGCTCCCTATGGATGGTCCACCTTAATCTCCAGATGCCTAAACTGAATGGTCTAGGGCTGTGATGGCAATAGGCCATGGAGGAGTCTTCTAATACGATGACACGAGATGCATCAATCAATGCAAGTGCTCCGGCATTAAGCGTGCGATACAATAGGGTAATGATGATAATGAAAAGTAAAAATAATGAAATCGTTTTTATGGGAGAATCAGATTTATTTAAGTGGGCCATACATCATCACCATGGGCAAATGATAATGAATTGCACAATGTGCCCTTCAGCGATTAAGTATTTCAGAAATATAATCTATCATCTTGCTGTTCATAACTCATATTATGAGCAACATATGAGGTTGACTTGTGTAGGCAAAGGGAGGCGAAACAACAGCAACATTAAACCGTCGCCTTACAGTGACAAATCTTCGGTTGAGTCTGGTTTTAACTCACACCACAGCATTAAATGGTGCGGTTGGATCACGAGAATGGCTGGTAATTCTATATGTCCAGTGAAGAGGTGGACGTAAATGCTGTGAAACCCGCTTCAATAAGACAAGCTTCCGTTTAAACATCTGCAACATCTGGAAACCGAC